ACCCCCGTCCCCCATGGGCACCCCCAGCCCCGCTCACCTTGCGCAGCAGCAAGCCGTGGGAGATGTTCTCCGAGACCATGAAGCCCGAGACGAGGTGATGGATGGGGCCGGCCTCGCCGCAGTGCGGGCGCAGCACGAAGGTGTGGAAGCCCCTCTTCCTGCAACGTGGGGCTGACCATCATCATCTGGACACCCCCCCCCTCAAGACCCCTCCAGGTGCTGGGGACCCCGAGGTGTCCTTACCGTCGGAGGTGGTTGAGCACCGTCATGTTGGCGTACATGTAGTACAGGTAGTAGGAGTAGGGGGGGTTGTCCTCCTCCACCCAGTTGCCCGGCAAGGGGCTGTCCAGGTTGAAGATGTGATGCTCTGGTTTGGATTCATCATCCACGCTGTCGAAGCCGTCCACCTGCGGGAGAGACAACCCCAGGGTGGGACGGTCACCCCTCCAGCAGACCTGCCCCAGCCCTCAAGCTGGGTCCAAGCTGGGCGTTGCGGGTGTCACCGGGGGGTGTGTGTGTGTGTCCCCTCGTCTCCCCCTCTGGGAACGGGACATGGTGCTCACGTGCTCCAGGAAGAGGTGCAGCTCCGGGTGTTGGGCAGGGTGGATGGTGGCCTCGTAGAGGGGCAGGAAGATGTTCTCCAGCATCTCCTGGAAGTTGGCCAACTGCTTCTTCGTCCGGTAGACGTCGCTGCAGGCGGACGGACCCCGCTTAGAGCCGGCTGCCCCATCCCACCCCACCCCAGCCATCAGTGGGGTGTCCTTGGGCTCCCCACCCAGGAACGTGGCCCCTGGTTGAGGGTATCTGCCCCCCGCCCCCCCCCAGCACTCACAAGAGCCGGGGCACCTGCACGAGCCAGCGGACGTTGTGTGAGGGGACGCGGTGGGCCAGCTTGTCCCACTCGTCCCGGGAGCGGCCGTAGATGGAGAGCCGCAGCTCGGCGTTCTGGTACTTGCTCTCCTCCAGGTCGGACATCACCTCCTGCCGGGGAGGGGCAAGCGTCACCCCTTGGCCACCGGGAAGGGGGTCGTGGGTGGCATTGGCCACCAACAGGCATGGGAGGGAGGGAGGTGCGGAGGGTCACCCGTCAGGGCCGCTCACTTTGATGATGTGGGCAAAGTACTTCCCCGAGACGCGGTTGTCCGTCTTGATGAAGATCTCCCGCAGGATGGACTCGCCGATGGGGTTGTACTTGGCGTTGAACTTGTCGAAGCGGTGGAAGGTGTTGCGGTCCTGGCAGGGGGACGCAGACGTGAGCCGAGACCTCTCGGTCACCCTAGAACCACCCCAACATCCCTCTCCAGAGCCCCCAGCATCCCCCACCCTGGGGCAACCCCTGGAGAAGATCCCCCCACCCTGGCCAGAGATGGCCTGGGGGCGGCCCTGCTCATCTCCAGGATGTTGGGGTGTCCCCCGTACCGCGTGGACATCCAGCGTGTCCACGCTCAGGTCGTAGGCGGTGAGGTTCATCGTCTCGAAGACCTCCTTGAGCGTCTGCTCCTTGCCCTTCTCCACGTGGACAATTTCATCCAGGTGCTTCTTCATGGCCCGCTTGATGAAGCGCAGGAGATGCTTCTGGTTCATGCAGGACGAGGCGTGGATGTGGGTGTCCACCTGCACGGTCAGAGGCGATGCTCAAGCCCCGAGAGCCTCCAAGGGCTCCCCGGTCAAGGCAGGACCCCCACCACGAGCCGGTGTGTACCTTGCGGATATTGTAGAAGTCGCGGTGGGGCACCTTCTTCTGGGCCGCCAGCTCCTTCATCTCGTTGAGCAGCACGTGCATCTGGAACTTGGAGCTCAGGTACTGCAGCCGGCGGTAGCAGAAGGATTTGCTGCCCGAGGTGGGGAAGGGGGCGTCAGTTTGGGGAAGAGGAGGGAGAACATCCAGCCCCAAAAGGCCGGTGCCCACCAGGATGAGGCTCTGGAGTCTTAGACCCCCTCCCCGTCCCTGTGCACCACGACCAAGAGCCAGGATAGACTCACGGGAGCTGCACCAGTACCACGTGTCATAGCCACCGCCACGTCCTCTGGTGCTGTCCCCAAGGTCCTCTCCCCCCCAAGACACCCCCCACGGTGGGACCCTTCTCCTTACATGGGCCCGTTGATGATCAAAGCCATGAGGAAATTCATGTCGGCAATGAACTCCTGCAGGTCGGGGTACGGCAGGTCCAGCTCCGTGCTCCTGAGGTGGGGACAGAGGCGGGTCACTCGCGGGGACACGGCCCAGCAGGCTC